CCCCCCCCCCCCCCCCCCCCCCCACCCGTACATTCTCGATCAAAACCCTCTCCCCTTCCCAACACCGCGGTTTCCCTATCCGTCGTCTACTGGTCTAAACACGCAAAATGAAACCGCCGCCTACTGGCCACCTCTCGCTCAGGCCTGTCTCTCACAACACGGCTGCGCGCGGGCCAACTCGTAGACAGATAGGGAGGCTAGACATGACATACCATACCACAGCAGCACGACATGACATACGAAATACAAAGGGGGCTAGCAATATAAAATGACATACACGGGAGATTGGTTCGGCGTCGGATTTGGCACCTACACGTCGTAACGTACCAAAGGGGAAGAATGCAAGGCGAGGTGCGCAGACCCCCACAAGGCGGCATCATTCTACAACCAACCACGACTCAAACAGAAAACCATTTGTCAACGCCGAAGGCCGTGAAGGCGGGGGATACACCCGCCCAGCGCACGAACGTTGCTGAACGCGGTGGGGTCGACTCAACTCCTGTCGCTGGTACCGATCGATCTCGCGTCTCTCTGCGAAAGATTAGGAAGCTTCCCATAAAAGCCTAATCTACGCCCACACCACAAGAGAGACGGTCTTCATCGTATCCCATCCCCCCCCCACCCACACGCGCTGCAAGAATCGTTTTTTTTTTTTTCCGCGTTCCAACAGGAAGTAGGCCCTTCATACCAAAATATAAATATTACTTCGAAATCCAATTCCAACTACACGCACCCGGGGACAATGTTCTAGGCGAGAATGAAGCTAAGCCACGCTCGTTGGTTCTGCGCATCTCCCTCCCCGCGCCCCCCCGAGACGGAAGAGATATCCGGAGATCTCCGGATATCGATCCCTTCCACAACTGCCGGAGAACGCCCTCGCGCAGATAAGAAAAACGACCGAAGCACAATAATAGGCAAGACAATGGTACGCAGTAATGTATTCCACACATCGATCGGTCCCTCTTCGTCAATATTATACAGAGAGCCCACGTTAACGTTAACATGTACACGTACGTGCGCAAGACAAGAAAACACAACGACAGCAGTAGCGACCATGAAAGATTACTTCTGCTCGTGAAGGGCCATTCATTAGATTGGGTTGCATTGCCTACTGTTTGCAAGACGACCACACGCGGGTGGTTACAGCAACCGCCGTGCCGCACCGCACGACTGCGGCATGCATGGTACGTCGTCCTCGTAGTCTCCCTTCCTTGCTTTTTGTGGTTCTGTGCCCTGGTGCTAGCACTCCCGGATCGGTTACCCCCAGGATACAAGTTCGTCGCCTTCTCATTCGAGGCCCAAACGTACACCACACACGCACACAACCCCGGCTTTAACCCCGCTACCCACGTCAATCCAAAACCTCAAATTTTCCACCACCATAAAAGAAAAAGAAAAGTTCACCCTCAATACCCAACTGTTGTAGTCTTCGTCACGAAAGACTCCCACACTCACTCTCACTGCTGCACACACTACCGAACACACTATTCCTTACAACGACAATCTCGATTGTACAGGGACAATCAAATCAGGGCAGCCAACGGCCGGCGTAACGGCCATCCAAATCTCAAACCTCAATCCGACATCATGGACCACAGCACGACCAAACCTACTAGCGCTGGTACAAGGCCACAACGGCACTCCCCCTCGTGATGCGTACCACAAGCAACCCAGAATCTTTGATACACAGCCTCCGACCGACCGACCGCATCATGCACCATGCACCATGCTTTTCCACCTTTTCTCACCAAGAAGATAACCTACGCTCGTTGGGACGACTCAACTTCGGACCGTGTGGATCTCCACGAAGAGACCCTCGACTGCTCGCAAATCGTTCGGATCTCGACCATGATGCTTGCCGCCCGACCGTTCGCGAGAATGCCAAAAGTAAATTTGGCCGTCGAATGACAGCCCAGCCAGCAGGCCTTTGACCTAATGATATGGACGACGTAATGTAATAACCGATCAGACCGACCTCATAAAAATCCAATCGAAACAAGCAATTCAACCAATGGATTGATCGACCGATCGACCAATCAATCCATGTATCAACAAGGAGCGGCCAATCG